ATCCAAGAAGGCTCCTTGGAGGAAGTGAGATAGCACTGGCAGAAAGGAAGAAGAGGGTGAATGGGGTGCAGGGCAACAGCCCTGAGGCAAGAAAAGGTGGGGAATTGGGGAGTGGGGAGGGAAGAAGTGTGGAAGATAAGGTGGGAGTGGGGCCAGGCTACCATGTAGGACTGGGGAAGTGGCAGCTCTGTCTCTGTGTGTCCCAGGAGAAGATCTCAACACAATGACGCAGAGGGATGGAGGGGCCTCACAGAGGCCAGGGCACAGTCCTGGAGACACAGTGGGTCCCAGGCCAAGGCTGGGGAATAAAGGTCTTGGAGGGGGAGAACCACTCCCCTCCCTCATACCATAGGGGGCAGAGAGGGGATGGATCTCCTGGTCTCTCGTGGCTTAGGCTGGCTAGAGAAGGTGGAAGCCCATTTTGCCGGAACCAATGAGTCCTCCATGCTGTAGGAGGACCCCTTCCTCCCCTGCCCTGAGAGAGAGGAGGTTTCCGGGGCAGCCAGGCCTTGCCAAAAAAGGAAACCAAGAGAAGAGGAAGTATCTAGCCCCAGAACTGCCAACTAAAGCAGGGGAAGTGTGGTCAGTCTCCTGTGACACAGGCCCTATAGTGGCTGAAATGAGTGACATGGAGCTGGGGGAGGAGGACAGGATATCAGATGGGGCCCCAGCTTTCATAAGGGCCACCCACTCCCACCACTACCCCCTGCAGGCAACTGGACCCTATTCCCTGGGCTGAGCCTGGCCTTCCTCATAGAAGAGTGTCCAGCTCTCCCTGTCTCCCACCCGGGGGAGTGACCTACACCCTCCTCCCCCAACCCCCTTAAGAAGGTGAAGGTTCCTGGAAGGTCAGAGGAAGGGCATCTGTCTGCCCCTCCTCCCCCCACAGGGCCTGGCTGGTGCTGGGGGAGCTCCCTCCCTTCCATGAAAAGTCTCTGCCGAGGGGTGGGCCTCAGGCCTCAACTGTCCCCCACAATCAGGAGGGCTGGGGGTGGGGGGAAGCATTGGTCTCCCAGGACGCAGCCCCAGCTTCCCATCAGCAAGCTGTGACTCCGGGGAGGACTTTCCTGACAGCCATGGTCCTTCCTCCCCACACAGGGCCGGTATGGAAGTCAGGTGACTGAGCTCACATGTCACCTCCTGCAAGAAACCTTCCCAAAACCCGGAGGCCAAGGCCGACTCAATGTCTCCCACTCATTGCCTCCTCCTCTCCCTGGTCCTAGTTGTAAGTTTTAGGGTCAGAAATCTTGTCATGCCAGGTGCTTCCTCCTGTCCCTCCCATCCCCTAGCTGTCTCGTGCTCCTCCTGCGATCATGGCATACCACCTCTTTCAGGAAGCCTTCCCTAATTGGGGATACTGGATTATGTACCTCCTCAACCCCCACAGCTGCCCTCTGCCACATTTCATTGTAACTGCAAGTTGACTTCCTATTTCTCCACCTACACTGAGAAGTCTAGACTTGTCTAGTTTCTCATCCCTGGATCGATCCCCAAGCACAGCCCCAGGACCATCACAGGTTGGCCCCAGCAAATGTCAAATGTCAAAAATGCTGAAATACTGTCTACCTTTCAGGCCACAAACCAATACGCCACTTCCTCCAGCTGATCCTCAGCTCATGAGAGAAAAAGAAAAGAACACGAAACTCAAGGATTTCCCCTGATTTCCCAGGTTTCAATTTCTCCTCACAGCTAAGATCTGAATGGGCCACCACAGACTCTGCTCATCCCAGAAAGGTAGGGATCGCAGGAGATTAGTGCTCTGATAAGTATAACTCCTCCCTCCATTCACTTTGGACATTTGAGGAAACTGAGGCTCAGAAAAAAGCAAACCTTTGCCTAGAGTCACACATAAAATCAGGCCAGAGCTGGGATCTCTTTCCCTGACACCACGGTCATCTTGAGCCTGTGCCTGCACTCACTCCATCCAGCCTGCTCTCAGAACCTTCACTATTCAGGACAGGGGGGTCACAGAGCTTGGCAGGAAGCTCCTAGAGGCATCACAGAGCATCTCTCTCCCAGCCTAGGACCATCCCCCATCTCCTCCTGCGAATTGCCCCCTCTCTGTTCTGCAGGGGGTTCACCCTGAAGGTGAGGAGCACATCTAAGTCCCCAAGGGGGCAAGGATTTCCACTGAAAATGCTGATGCTTAGGGAGCCCCAGCTGTGACCTCATCCCCTGCCCTGGGGAGTAGCTCCATAATGGCTCCCCCAAGCAGCCTCAAGTCAACAATAACATCCTGTTGTTTAATTGGACAAGGCAGAGGCAGAACCGGCTGGGCAAGTAGCTCTGTTTCTCCTTGGGGGCAGGTTGGCTCATCTCTGACCTTGGGGGTCAGGACCTTCCTGAGCTTCTCCATCTCCTCTAACTGGGGATGAAATGAGAGAGGGGTGCATAGCTTCCACGGGCATGCCAATCTCCTGCCCTCACCTATGACCCACTTCTCTCCAGCCCCTGCTTGCAGGAAGGGCAGGCCCAAACAGTCATATCTCTGACTGGCCCATGTGTCAGTGACAGCCCTCAGGGGACAATCTCAGAGCCCTTCCTGCTCTGGTGAGCTCTGAGAGTCAGACACAGTGTGGAGCTCAAGGGCACCCAGCAGGTTAGTGCTAGCACATCCCTCTCTGCCCAGAACTGCTGGGCCCGGACTCAATATGTTGGAGAGTTCTCAACCTCTGACAAGTGCAGGCTAGGACCCTCCCAGAACTCCCTAATCTTATGCTTCCCGTAGGGCAGTTTGCCGACCACTGCCCCTAGGGTGTAGGGGTCCATGGAGCAAAAAATAAATTACGAAGAAGAGCCAGAGCTCCATACCTAGTCCCACACCTGTCTTGGCTTAAAACTTAACGCCAACCTATGCCTCATAGAGAAGTGGCTCCAGAATCACCATTATCCTAGATCTGGTTGTTCCTGGAGGCTACCACCCACCCACAACCACCCACTGGTAGACAGGAACCTAGGCTTATACTACAGCAAGGCCAAGGGGATCCTCCTCTCACCCCACTTCTGGGGTTGCCCTGCCCAAGCCCACTTTTGTCCATGTGTCACCCCACAGGAAATGGAAAGCAGCTGTCAGCCAGGCATACCATCACCAGCTGGTGGTCCTGAGGGACAGGCAAATGGCAGGGTCTGTCTGGCCAGTGGGGTGCCTGGCACTGATGGAGGAGACTACAGGCTGCCCTAGAAGGAGACAAGTGAGGGGTGGGCAGACCCCAGCGGGGGATATTAGTGTATTACCAAGCAGAGGGCACAGCCAGAGTGGCTATTATAGTGAACTGCATGGAGGGAAAAGAGAGGTGGAGCTGGGTTGGGAGCTTTGAAAAGTGGGCAAAAGAACTGAAAGCAGCTTCAAATAACCTCAGGGTGGAAAGACTAAGTGCCTGCGATGGGGAGGTACACATTAAGTACTAAGAAATGGGTGTGCATTAAATATGTGGGGGGAAGGGTCTTCAGAAGTCTGGGGGAGTGGAGGCAAGCAGAGCCGAATGCAAGGGGGTGGGCGCAGGGGGAGATGCTAGAACACTTAGACAGGGCCATTTATCCCCTTGAGAGGGCCCAAATGCCGGGCTGTCCAGGACAGCCAAGAGGTTTGACTCAAGGCCAAGATGTTGGGAAGGCAGAGGAAGCCTGGGCTGGAGGTGTCTATCATGAGTAGACGCCAGAGGTCCACCTACTCTGCTGCACTCCCAACAGAATATCTGGGGCTGGGTTATAGAGCTGGCCCCCAGAGTCCCTCCTTTGTGGCCAAGAAGTTGCCTAAATCCTTCTCCCCTCCCTAACCCAGTGCTGGCACTGGACCTGTGCCAGATCCGAGCCCTGTCTGCACTTTGTCCAGTGACCTTGGGCGAGTCACATTCTCTCTGCTGCAGCTGCAGTTCATGCCATTGGTTGTGTGTGGGGGATTTTCTTTCTCTCTGCTAAGAATACCTGCCCCAGATAATGTTCAGGCTCTGGCAATCCCTGCAAACCGCCTCAGTCATCAAAGGGCCCTGTCAGGGCCAGACCAGGCAGCTTCTCCAACCCCCACCCTGAGTCCACCTCCACCACAGGGGGCCACAGCACCACCAAATTTGGGGGCAGAACCCAGTTGTCCTGGGAGTGGGAAGCATTTGCGTGCAATGCAGGGGAGGGGAGCTCAATCCCTCATGGCATAAAGCCTCAGACCCCACCTAACCGGCTTTCGGACCCATTGTTTAACTAAGGCACCCCTGAGGGAGACCCCTGTTCTTCAGACTCGCATATCCACCGCATCCTAAAAGCTACACCCCAGATCCGCTGCGTGGGGTCCCAACAGCCGCACCCCACCCAATGCTGTGCCCACAACGCTGGCACCTATTCCTGGTAACAACTGCCACGTGCGGACCGGTAGGGTGGGGGGATCGGCCGGGGCCGGGGCCAGTGCCGGCATTGCAGAGGTAGCGCCCAGGTGCCCCAAGCCTCCGCAGCACCACACCAAGTCCCAGCACACCACAGGGTGCCCACCCCTTTACCGGTCTGGGTCCTGGGCCCGGGGCGAGGGCAGGCAGCAGGGTCTTTGTTCCCACAGCCAGAGCGGAGCAGCGGCAGCAAGGAGTCTGCGCCCCCGTCTCTGGCCCAGCCAGGGCTCCTGGCAACAGCGGAGTCCGCAGCTCAGGAAGGACTTGGGTGGCGGTCCCAGCCCGAGAGAGTCTTGCACAGAGGCCCTGTGCTGGAGGACAGAGAGCGCCTCTGGGCGGAGAGAGGTGCCGGCTCCCTTCCCTGGTGCCCCGGCGCTGCGGCTCCCAGCTGCGGGCGGACTTAGAGCGACTTAGCCTGGGTTCCGGCCCCACCACCCGCTTCCCCTCAGTGTTCCAGCGGCTCCAGTGAGCCAGCGCGCACACTCACCCTCATCCAGACCCATACTCTCCCCGAGTAGCACCCGGGACCCACAGAGCCTCGCGCACGCACCCGCTCCGGTGCCGCACACTCTGCACCCACCCGCGAGGCATCGGATCCCGCGCTCCGCCCCCCCGCGTGCCACCTACCTTTCCAGACAGCGGAGATGCGGGGTCCGCTCTTCGGGTGGCCTTGGGTGTCGGCGGCCGTCCAGAGCAGCAGCAGTAGCAACTGCAGCGGGAGTCCGGACCGAGCCTGTGGGCCAGAAATGCGGTAGCGCGGGACGCCGAGGGAGGTGCATCTGGGCGGAGGCGGTGTCATCTCGTGGACCGGGAGCGACAGCAGAGAGCTGCGGAGACTGAGCCAGCACCCGAGCACAGACCGATACCAGCACGAAGAGGCGGAGTCAAACGCCTGACCCCACCCCACCCCTCCCCCGCCCCTCGGAGCCTTTCTCGCCTCTGGGCTACCCAAGTGGGGCGCAGTGCCCACCGCCAGTGGAACCGTAGTCATTCCCTCCCAGGCAGTTCCACAGGAGAACCTGAGTGGACCGGGACAAGACAGACTTGTGGTCTTCTGTGATCCGAGGTGGTCCTGGTTCCCTCTTAGGGCCTCAGATCCACCCCCCCACCCCCACCCCCGCATGAAAGGGTTGGCCTAGAAGAGGGGGAGGAACTCTCTGAGGGTACAGACAAGTCTACTACCAGGCAACCTCGCTAATGGCCAGCTCAGTGTTTTGCACCCTGAAGACTATAGTTCTCATAGGATAGGCTGGCCTGAGTGGACATGGCTCCCTCTGAGCCTATAAGCACCAAAGGTAGGTAAGTGGCGGGGGGAGGGGGGTATTGATGAGCTGTGGGGAGAACTCAGCACCCCATCATTGCTCTGCTGTGAGAAGGTGGAATTTTAATCTTGGCCTGGCTCCCTCTCCTCCCTTCTCTCTTCTCCCCTTTCCCTAGCCAGCAGCCTTCTGGGCTGCCTCCCCCCAGCCAGCTGGTGTGTGCTCAGAAAATCCAAACTCATTTCCATGTGTGTGCAGGGGGATATAATCAACAAGGCCCCTTACCCAAGAAGAAAGAGAGGGAACATCCTGCATGCTTAGGACTCACTGTGAGGAGGCAGAGTCAGACAAGCTATAGGGTTTCTCTGCTCACCAGCTACATAGGGTTGAGCTACTGAAGGCTACCTGGTGATCCCCTGCAGGATCTAGGCCCAGTCCCTCTGCAGTCACCTGAGCAGCCAAGGAACTCTCCCATCAATTCTGCCCAAAGAGGACCAGACCCTTTACCTTGGCTTGTGCCTGAAGGAGCCATGGATGGGAAACCCACTTATCCACTGCTTAAGAGATGTGAGGAGGAGATAGCAGAGATGCATGTGAGCTTCCAGGACCCACACACCTACCTGGACTTGATTCACACACTGCAGACACCAGCTAAGACAGGGAGCAAGATACCCTCATCCCAGCCTCAGCTCCAGCTCTCTGCTCTGATCTACAGCCAGGAAAGTATTGTTACCAGCAAGTTTTGCTTTAACATTCCAAATTTTGTTTTCAGCTATCACCTCCATCTTCCTTAAGAGCCCCAAGATAACCCAACAGGCCAAAAGGGTAAATCAAGATGCCTCCACAGATAGTGCAGGACTAGGTTCCTGGTAGACTGGGTGGGCTTCACACTGCCCCATAGAGAGGATGGTTCAAGAGCCCCTCCCCAGGCCCAGAAGCCAGCAGCATGTCCTGGCCCAGGCTAGCCTTCAAGACTGACTTTTGTTTCCAGCCCAGGGCCTCATCTGCTGAGCTGTATGGTCCACAGTGTCTGCCCTCTCTGCAAAGGTAAGCAAATTCAGAATTAATGATAACACTACTCATGTGCACAGCAACTCACAACACACAACCCATTTCCACCTACATTCTCCCTGCAATCCTATATTCTCCCCTCAGTGAGAGAGCATAATTCCATGCTAGAGAAGGAAACTGAGGCACAGAGAGGGAGAGGGACCTGCTCAAGGTCAGCTAGTGGAGCCAAGATGGGAACCTGGGTTTTCTGACTCCAATGCCAATAGCTAACACTGAGGTTACTATATTCTGTGCACGTTTCTTAGTCTCATTTTAACTTATTTCATCTTCACAGTCTTATGAGATGGGTGCTAGTATTTGCCTCCTTTTGCAAGCAAGTAAACCAAGGAAAAGAGAGAGAATGTGATGTCCCCAAGGTCACAGTTAGAGAAGGGCTGAGATTAATGCTCAGGCAGTCTCTGAGGCCGACACTCTTCTACATCATAAAGCTCTTAAAGCAATGCACCCTTTTGCTGCTGCCTCGTATTAGGCTGGATTCTGGATCTGAATGACCCTTGGAAAAACCCAGACAAGGTCCCAGGTTACTAGGTGCTAGGCAGGAGGGTAGGCTAGGGTCTGGGTTCAGCCCTCCAAGCAACAAGGCAGCAGATGGAAACCGGGGCAGATGCCAGGGATTTTTTTTTTTTTCTAGGCTGGGGTGGGGGTGAGCGGGTAGTGCTAAAGATCATCCCACCTCATGTCCCAGGGTGGGCCTCTGGCTGGGCTCCTGCATGGCCAGCTCAGCACCAGCTTTACCACCAGCAGGCATCCCTGAGCCAGCCAATCTAGGGGCAAAGGGCCAGGGCCAGATGGCAGCCCACTCCTACTTCACTACAGACATCCAGGGGAGGTGAGAACCAGGCCCACAGAAAGAGAGGGCAGCTAGACTATGGACATAGAGGAGAGCAGGTACCCCTCTATGGGGTGGGGAGAGCACAGGACCAGTGTTTGTGTGTGGCCTCCCTTCCTGAGGCAGCATAGGGAAATAAAATAAGAATGGAACAGGTGGTGACAGGAACCTTAAACAAGAACAGGGCCACAACCCACACTCCCAGACAGTGATGGGAAATGGATCAGCAAAGGAAGCAACAGATGTGGATGCTGACAGGTCTGAGGAAGAGGTCATTCCTGTCCTCCTCTTCCCCATGACTCCAAATATGAGGGATCGCAGAAAGGAAGCCAAGATAAGAAATGATGTGGGGGTTCCTCTCTAGGAAAAAAAATACCTTGACAGGGTCTTCCCTGAAGGGCAGCTAAGGCACAGTCAAATCCAAGAAGGCTCCTTGGGGAATCAGAGAAATGGACACACACAGCCCTGAGGTTCACAGGCCTGAAGCAGCAGAGGCCCTGGGAGCCTTCCTCAGCCTTCCAAGCAAAGCCTTCCAGAGCCCTATTCAGAGTATTCCTCCATTCTCCAAGCTTCCTCTGACCCCCTCTTCATCCCTAATTCCATGGCTACACTTGGTCTCAAAGGAGTAACCCACCCCTAACAAGAGGCATGTGGGAGGTTAAAAATGGAGATATAAGGAACTCAGGCCCACAGACCCCTTCCTGCTAGATCCATCCCTGCTGAGGCCTCAGAGCTTGGTGCCCACCTACGCCTTCTGGTTACTACTATCAACAGCAACTCTTACTGCCCCCCACCCCACTCACTGCAGGGGGCAGAGACCAGGGAGATCCTGAAAATAGTGAAGCAGGTCAGGTGGGGCTGGGAACCCTGAGAGGGCACATGCCCTGTCTACAGGGCAGTTGCTACTCAGTGCCAGCCCACATGGCATTGAGCTTGTGGCAGGCGCGCCATCTGGTGGCCACCCCATACAGAGCGGCAATTTAGCAGAGTGTAGACAGACATACCTTGTGTATATTCCCAAGTCTTTCTGGAGACAAACTCCTCCCTCCACCCCACAATCCATCTCTGAGCCTCCCTTCTCAGTGCCCAAGACCTGAGGCAGAACAGGATCTCGTGGGAACCATGTGGAAGCTATCTAGGAAAACAAAGTCTCCTGACACTTAGATATGGCTGGGAGGCCAAAAACAAAGTCCCAGCTTGGCCACTGACCCAAGTTAAGCAAGGCCCTGCCCTAGCCCAGGCCTCCATTTCTTTGTTTACAAACAGAGAAAGAGGAGCTAAAATAGCAGTTCTTCCTCCGGGCTATCTCTTATCTAAGCCAGAGATAGACAAAGCTTTCTCATTCTATCTTCTGCACTTCTTCTGGTTTGTAGGTTGAAATAAATATGCTTTTTAAACTATCCCTGCAACATAGAAGGTATCCCAAAACACTCCCAGCTCTGATGTGATACTTGGGCCTGCTGGGGCCACCTGAGCGAGGAAAAGAAATGCACGCAGACATGTGATCTCCCACAAACAGTTCACTTTCTTTCATAAATACAGTGATCTAAGAAACCCAATTCTTGAGATTAGAATTCTCAGCTGTCATCCAGTCCAAACTGGGAGTGCCTTACAACAGCCTTTATGGTGGTCATGCAGCCACTGCTTTCATACCTCCATTGACAATGAGCTTCTCCCCCAGAGGAAGATACCTTGTTTATCTCTGACACAAAGCCTTCTCCCCCAGAGGAAGATACCTCCTTCTCGCTGACACAAAGCCTTCTCCCCCAGAGGAAGATACCTCCTTCTCGCAGTGGTCCTAAATCTGCCCTCCAAGGCGATTTTAACACAGAAGCCATATCCTTCTAAATCTACTTTTTCAGGGTAAATAATCCCAGTTCCAACTATGTCCTTCATGGGGCTTTGCTTGGTCTCTCTAATCCTGCTTGATTCCTAAGATATCAGTCAGTCATTTAACAAAAACTTCTACTGAGACCCTCCTAGGTGCTAAGCAGCCCAATTTGTGTCCACTTCCTTCAAAGACATAGTGTTGGACCAGAATGCCACAGCTAGAGGAGACTGGGCAGTAAGAGGGCTGGAAAGACTGACCTCATCCCTCCTGATTACAAAGGCATTGCCTTATTGAGCTGAGATACCAGGCTGTTAAATCCTGTTGATTTTAGCCCAGGGTCATCCTTGGGCCAACGCCCATCCAGTAGTAGCTTTCTGGAACACGGTGCAAAAGATTGAGTTTGAATCTGAGCCCAGGAGAAGAAATGAGACCCCATCCTCCATGAGAGCAATTGGTTTTCTAGTCCCCATCACAGGACCCTAGACTGTTCTTGTTCCTGTCCCTCTTGTTAGGATTGCCTCGTTATTAGGATCCTGATTCTGTTAGTCACCTATTCACCTGTCCAGCTGAGTGTCCTGACATCACTGATATAAAAATGGTCAATATCCATTCATATAAATTGAGGAAACTGTAAAACAGTACACAACTGAGGCTCCAAGAGATTAGGGTGTCTGTGGAAGAGATCATAACCTCAGTGGGTCTGACTTAGAAGCCTGATTCCCCTCCAAAATTCCAGCTGTATTTCCAGGATGGATGAGTGGTGAGCAGACCCTTCACCCTTTGAGTGGCTACCAGGACTGCCAGGCACAAGGCCCCAGGTGGGTGCATTGATGGGACTGCGCTGATACAATCCCACCCAAGCTCTGGAAAGGCCAGTTTCCCAGCACAGTCACGTCCCATT